TTTAAGATTAGTATTTTTGTATTTTCAAAATACATAAAATACTTTGTGCCAGTCAACCTCTTTATCAGGGTGCTGATTTAGTTCAGACACACCCCCTCTCCCTCCCCCCAACCCCAACATTCATCACATGAGCTGCAGCTGTACAACTCCATTCAGCACTGGGTGAGTGACTTTTCTGGAATAAGATAAGGTGAGGATGTCACGGTTAATTGTACATGTTGATTAAAGTTAAAATAGTGCATCATTCAGATTTGCCGTCAGTTAACATGAAAGAATAAAAGAGCACTGACAAGGGGAAAAATTGCGTTAGCCAATCAGTTTTAATAGCTAATCTATTTTTTTTTTTTATCTACTAGCTTGTCAAATGTGTTTAAAGCATTACTGCAGGTTAGGCTGGGTGATATGACAATACATATCGTGGCGATGATATAAAGTGTGAATCAACGCAAATTTTTCTAAATCGTTTACATAGATAGATAAGCCTGTTGTGGAAAGCAAATATATCTGTGCAGCTTTAAGTGGGCAGGAATTATTCATTCATTCAATTAATTCAAAAGGAAGCATGGATGAATGAGTAATAGAATGTGATGTGCTTGGTGCAATTGCACTTATTATAAGTGTATATGTGTATGTCCTTTATACTTCTATGGCTCTCAATAGATTCAGTGGTTGGAGTTGGGTTAATACTCCTTGACAATTTCTGATTACGTTTCTGGCTACATTTAAAATCAAAACATATTGATCATTTAATAATTGTTGTAATGCTAAAATGTTTGTTTTCAACTTCCAAATAGGTGTCCAGTGATTGATAAATAAATATTTGATTTCTGAATATTGTACCCTAATTGAAGTAGCTGTTTAAATAGGATCATGATTTTACATACCATTGCATGAATGACTGCCTGACACATAATATATTATTATATTTATGACTAACAATCAAATGATTAAGTAGTTAGAAACTAGTTGCTATGAATACAGGTGCCATCAGTTGTCTTCTTATGAATGACTTGCTTGTCATTGAGTCAGTGCTGCTGATGCAAAGTAGGTCCTTTGTTACCAAACACCATGTAACTAAATTAGGATACAATTATGAGTCATTCGCAAACTGTTAAACATTAAAAAGTTGGTTACTTTAAAACTAACCTTCATCTGGGAGATCACAGGGATATGTGAATATTTGATCTGTTAACTGGTTGCATATGTCAGATTTATTGCATGACTCGGGCAGAGAAAATCTGTTGCTATCAAACATTGTTCACAAACATCAGTGTATCGGTGAAGAGATAGATCAAATAGGCCAATTGAGGGAAGGTTTGTGAAGAAATTTCATGCTCCCTTGTAAAAGTATTTTTTAGTATTTTTAAAATACAAAAATACAGTAGATTATTTTGATACTTGGTGTGGCTGCTGTATTTTGTAGTTTATTTTGATACACTTAAAATTAAGGTATTTGGTATTTTGATGTATCTTTGCCCATCCCTGCCTCTACCCAGCATTCTGTGTGTTCTGCTGATTGTTGGGAAGTTGTTTAGTTGTTAAATTGCGATGTTTGCAGTTTTCAGTGAACTTTGTGCATTGAGTCATAGTGAAATACAGCTCTGACTCTGTTTTGTTTGGTTTGCTATATAAGAACCACCATTGATCTTGTTCTTTGTTTATTTTGCCATGTTTTCAGCCTACTTGTTCCTGTTGCTGGGTTGTTTGCCGAGTGTGGATCTAGTCAAGATGATTCCCATTTTTCACAGAAGACAGGTGTACATTTCTGGGACAGATAACTTTGCATTTGTTTAGGTCTCCCAATATATTTATTTTAATCACATATCATTTGTGTTCTAGTGTTGTTTAGTCTAATCACAGGATTATTCTGCTCTTGAACCTCAATCTGTAGGGAGGGGCTTGTTTTGTTTTCTTTGCTCAACTCTTGAATTTACAGGATTTTGTGTTTGGAGACCACTAAGTTCTAAGTGGTTCCAGAATTTAATTGCCTGTTTTGTGTCCTCATAGCTAATGGATATTATACCCTGCATGCATTACTTCTGGAATTCCATGTAAAAAAAAAATCAGCAAGCCTCAGTTGGGTGTTTTTCCCATTTGGCTAGTTCTTGGTTTGTTAGTGGTCCACACATCTCACTGCCATAAAAAGCAATGGCCTCAATTACTGATTCTAATATTTTCAGCCTAATTTAAATTGAAACCTCAACAGGACATTGCCTTTTTATGACACGGTGAGCCCTGTGAGCCATTCCTCTCAATTCTTTCACAGCAGGGTTGATGTTGCCTGTGGACTTGAGTTTCAGGTCTAATTGTACTTTGATGAATGTGTGATATAATTGGATATGAATATGTTTTTCATGCATGTACATCAGGATCTTGAAGGTCAATATTCTAGTTTTTAATTTTAGGTTTACTGCCAGGTTAAATGGTCCAGGTATGTCAGTATTGTTCTAGTAGGTCCACCTTTTGCTGTGATCCTGAATCAGAACCAGGTCTGAGCCATTTTGAGTGATACCAGAAACTACAGTTACTGATGAACCTGGTTGGAAAATACCAAGCAGCAACCATCTATGCTACTGGGATATTTTTTCTTTTATAGCTGTAATTTTATTAAAAATATTTTCAGTTAGTTCATGCTTTCTGTGAACAATAATTTATTGTGATTTACCCCCTTCAACACTTATAATTAGAACTATAAGATAATGTACATTCAGCTGGACATTACTGTAAAATTAACCCACGGTCAGGTGGTCAAATCATATATTACCCAAAGTAGTCTATTTTGCATTAATGACCTGGTGACTGTTCATTAACCTTATTGTTAAACGGCTCCTTACCAGGTGAATGAATGGACATGAAATATAGATTTGAGTTGAAATATCGAGTGCAGCTATGTCAGAAATTGGTTGGGACAATGCAGTTTAATGGCTATTATACAAAATAATTTGACTTCAAATTGCCACAATCGATCGGTTGGGATCAAATATTCCAGACAGTTATGCAATAATGTCATAAGTTTTGATGTCAAATAGCTGATAGAATGGAAGGCTTTTATAAAGTTAAGGCAAAAATTTTTGTTTGATATTTATTTCAATCATTGTTAGAAGTATAATCAGATGTGCTGTAATTTTGGTATTAAAAAGTCAATTTTACTTCTATCCAGGAGATTGTGTGCTTTTTGAGGAATTCTAAGAGTCTGGTATTAATTACTATACAAAACAGCCTTTTCTAGTTACCTCCCACACAAATGCTTTAGTCATTATTACGGATAAATTCATTCCCCCTTCAAGAGCCATATTGAATGGCTTTTGGAGAGCAGACTGGAATTAGTACTTTTAGCTCTAGTGCATTTGCTTTTTAATGCAGTCATTTTGTCTTGAAGCTCTTGCACAGTAATACAGAGATCTAATGGATTCTGATCTGAATAGCTGATTCGAACACCTCAGGCTGTTTGTTTATTTAATTTTTTTTAGAACTCTCTTTTTTTCTTGCTTCCCCTGCAATTCAATTTTCCTTTAGTTTGTGCCAACTTCTTCCTCATACTTTTAACCTAATTTGTTGAGCCGTTTTGTCTGCATACGCTAAACTCTTTCCATCACACAGACCGTTTTCTCTCAGTTCTGAACTCTGTGGCCATATTGAACAAGAAGAAGACTGGTGACTCCAAATGGGGTTTTTTTAAGGGGTTGTTTCTTTCTTCTGTTCCAGGGACTGGTATAAATAGGAGTCTTAAAGGGAAAAAGTTTGAAGTTCACTCAAAAGGGAAATTCTGTCATCATTTACTCACCCTCATTCTTCAAAACCTGCATGCATTTCTTTCTAGAAGATATTTTTAAGCAGTGGCGTAACTTTGTGTTGAAAAGTGGTGGGGACACCGCGCAACTCGTTTTGCTAGTTTTTTATTTAATAACCTAATTTACTTGGGGACTGGGTTTAGAGTTGGACAAACTTAATTTTAGCTTTTCAAAAATACATCGATGTACCAGGGGTGGCGCCAGAGAATTTTGAACGCAGGTGCTGAGGGGGTGCTAGATCATTGACAGAGGGAGCTGGGCAATTCAGGGCTCCAGACTCATTCTTCTCACTGGTCGCTGTTTTGCGATTAACTTTCTCAGTTGGTTGCAGGGTTTTTGTTTTTTTTTGCCCTACAACATGCTATTAATCAATGCATGCTGATGAACTTTTATCGTAGTTTATAGTTATATGGAAACGAACGTAGTTAACATTCAACCCGTTCTTTTTCATCAGTAGTATTATTTGTGATTTGAATTTTGTGAACGGGAGTTCCTCTTTTACCATGTTAAAAGCTGGCTTCGGATGCTTTCACTTTCGATTTCACGATCTTGTCAGGTTTTACAATAAAATATAATTGTCTGTTTTGCTTGCATCTACACACCTTTCACCTTTTAAGACAAAAAAAAAAAAAGATGGATTCATTATTTTTTTATTAAAATGCACAACAACATTAAAACGGTAAGATTCAATGACAAACTAGCTTACAAAACGTTATTAACAAAAACTAATAAGATGAGGCATGGCATAGGCCTACACGGTGTATTAGGCTATATAATGACTAATAAATTACAGAACGTTTAGCAAACACTGAGGAATCAGAAAAAAAAGAGAGACTCCATAGCATAAGGTGAGGTAAACAGCAAAGATAAGCTTTTCAAAAAAAGGTGCATTTCTATTAAAGGCACGTCCATGTGGAGATGGCGAGTCAGCGTCGGCAATTGCTTTATGCGCGAGCTTGAGCGCGGAATAGGCTCTAGTCTAATACGTCTGCCTATAGCCTATATTGAAGTATGGTTAATATATTATTATATTAATCGATTTAATATAACGTGCAACTAGTTGACTAGAAAAATCTTTAATAGAGGGCAGGCCTACTTAGCACAAGGAAGCTCTCCATTTTTAAAACAATGCTATAGCCTAATGACATTATGAAAAAAGCAACAGCTGCAAATCACGTCGTTATTAGGAGTTATGCATGCATAAGGAGTCAAATGTTGTTGTTGTTTTTTTGTCACCCTAATTAGATTATGAAGAATGATTTGTTGATCTTGTGTTCCCTTTAATACATACCTTCCGCAATATATTTTTCAATTACTTTCAAAAAGTGGTAGGGACAATATCGACCCTGGCAAAAAGTGGTGGGGACATGTCCTACCCATCCCACCCGCAAATTACGCCTATGTTTTTAAGAATGTTGGGAATCCAATAGTTTCGGTTACCATTGACTTCCATTGTAATTCCATAACATGGAAGTAAATGGGAAACTGAAACAGTTTGGTTATCAACATTCTTCAAAATACCTTCTTTTACATTCCACAGAAGAAAGAAAGTCATGTTTGGAACGGCATAAGGGTTAGTAAATTATTAATTTAAAATGTTAATTTATGGTGGACTTGTCCCTTTAAAGGGATAGTTCACCAAAAAATAAAAATTCTGTCTTCAAATTCTGTCATCATTTACATGGATTTCTGTTACAGTGTCTTTAAGAACTGTTTTATGTGTAGAAGTTTAGATAAAATGGACTTTAAATGGAGAGAAAGTAATCTCAGGTTTAAAAAATATGACGTGTAGGTGAGTAAATGATGACAGTATTTTAATTTTTAGGTGAACTATCCCTTTAAGCTGTTGGGTGATATGTGTGTGTGAATGCTTTTCTGATATCATTTTGAATGTAAGTGCACAGTTTGCAGTGGCTCAATACGGCTTGTATCTGTTGCCTGTGTCCCCTCCTCCCTGCTCAGAGAGGGAAGATGGCCCAGAGGAGATGTGACACTTCCTGTAGCTGTGTGTGACAGGTCTGGTGTTATTCGCTTACCCAGGCAGCCAGTAGGCCTGCTGCTTCCAGATAGGGCGCGTTTGTATGTGTGTGTATAAGACAGATGGGCTGTGCGCCGTGTTTGTGTTTTATTGTTTTGAGTTCAGTAAATGAGACACACATGGACTGATAAAGGGACAGGAAAAGATAAATGATCAATTAGAGGCTTCACCACAATTGCCTGCAAGTCTCTCTGGTGTCTGTGAAACCAAAGCAGGGAAATGAGACTGACAGAGAGAAGAGGAGAAAGGGAAAATGAAAAATAGAGAGACAAAGAGATCCAGGGTGTATTAGGAAATTCACATTCATTCTGTGTGTGTGTGTGTGTGTGTATGTGTGTGTGTGTGTGTGTGTGTGTGCGTGTGTGTGTGTGTGTGTGTGTGTGTGTGTGTGTGTGTGAAGTGATAACACTTCCTCTCTGTGTGGCCGAGCTCAGATGAGAAGCCTGATGAGAAGTGGATTGTTTTTGACGGGCCAGTGGACACACTGTGGATCGAGAGCATGATCTCTGTAATGGATGACAACAAAGTCCTCACACTCATCAACGGAGAGAGAATCTCCATTCCCGAACAGGTACCAGTTTCAAACGATACTCGGCACACACTAAAACCTCTAATGCTGCCCACCCAGGGTTATTTCACTTCTGATTCCAGACCTGATACTGTGCACTTCACCTCACTAACCCATCAGGGTACTACATAGAACTATTTATAATTTTCTTCACTTACGCCCTTTTCGTCAGTTATTGGGTGAATCTCATGAAGAAATGCCTACGGCATATTAAAAGTTTGGGTTCAGTAAGAATTTTTATTTGTAAATAGTTTTATTCAGCAAGGACATGTTAGATTGATTAATTAACAGAAGGATATTTCTATTTCAAATACATGCTTAAATCAGCATATTAGAATGATTTCTGAAGGATCCTTTGATACTGAAGACTGGACTAATGGCTGCTGAAAAAATTCAGCTTTGACACCACAGGAATCAATTACATTATAATAGAAAACTTATTTAAATTTAAAGTTGTTTTATTGTAATAATATTTTACAATTTTACAGTCTTTTTGATAAAAATAGATTTCATTTCATATATGCAAAATATAACTTCTTATTTCTTTATTTTGTGTTAGCGTGAAATAGGACGCTGTCATGTTCTTGACAGGTTTCTTGAGGTTCACTTTTCAGCTAAGTGACAGCTCTGTGCTTATTTGGTTGGGTTTAACCATTAATGAGAGAGTGTGTTGCAGGTTTCATTATTGTTTGAAGTAGAGGATCTAGCTGTGGCGTCTCCTGCTTCTGTGTCTCGTTGTGGGTGTGGTTTACAACAACTACTCTGACTTGACCTGGAAGCCTTATGTTCAGTCCTGGATAAAAAAATCGACAGAAGGTTTGGAACCACAGTGTTAAGCATTGTGTTATACATTTGGCAAAGTGCTTCATCTCTCTTGCTTCATCTCTCTCTCTTTCACTCTCAGGTTGAAATGGATCATCTCAGGCAGCTGTTTGACCGCTACATAGACAAGACCCTCACTTTTAAGAAGACTCACTGTAAGGAGCTGGTGCCCATCACTGAACTGAACGGAGTGGCATCGACTCACTGGCCACTCCAGAGAACGGGGTCAGAACACTTTCACTTCATTGATGTGTTCAACCAATATTGCAACTGTAGATGGACCATATAACTGATCTTTGTTCATTGAACATAAAATGTGTATGTATGTATATATTTATATAAGTTCTGAAATGACAAAAAAGCACCATAAAAGTGGTCCATACATTCATACATGTGCTATTTCAAGTCTTCTGAAGCCATATAATATGAGAAACAGAATTTTATGGTGCTTTTGTTTCCTTTTTGAAGCTTTACATTTACATTTCCAATTGTAATTACATGTAAACCAGTGTATTACTGATAATATTTATAATGACATGAGGGTGATTTTTGTTTAAGGGTAAATATCTGGGGTGTATGGCCACAGTTAAACTTTTGTTTTCCAATCTTGCAACTCTCAAGTCTTTATAAAAGTAATATTTAGCTTTACTGTAGCTAATTTACACAGGTGTAATACTGTAATTCTCACTGTCTGGACAGGTGAGCCCAGCGGACTCTGAAAACTTTGGCCGTATGGTGGAGCTCTGGTTCATCTTCAGTCTCATATGGTCTGTGCGCCTCTGTAGATGAGGATGGACACAAGAAGACTGACAACTTCCTGCAGGAAATAGAGGGAACTTTCCCTAACAAGCTATAAAGTGGCATAAAAAGTGTATGGACACTTAAAGATGAAGTGTGTAATTTCTGTGCCACTAATGTCACCAAATAGAATGGCAAAATAATGACTTTACTGATTTTTACCAATTCACCCAAGCTTCCATTGATCCATTTATTTATATATTTAGTTAGTTATTATAATTAAACCATTCTTGTTTTATTTTTAGTTCACAGGTTTGTAAATATCCAAATACTTTTTAGGGCCACAGTAGTCCACATACAATGTGAAATAGGTAACATGTATGTGTAATTAATGTAAATGTATGTACACACATGCTAATTTTACATGAAAAGCACTGATGCTCTGCATCTAGAACAAATGTTTAAGCCTTTTTGCCTACAGAAACAAATATATTACTGGAGAAATAATCACCTTGTATTAAACCTCAGGACACAATCTACGAATACGACGTGGACACCAAGAACAAAACGTGGGCGTCATTTGAGGACAATCTGCCCAAAGGCTGGCGCTACACCTCCAAGTGAGGTGTGTGTGTGTGTGTGTGTGTG